GAAAGAAAGTCACATACACCTAGGATGCTTTGAGGGTGAGTAAAACACAGGCTAAATTAAATTTTTGGGTGAACTAACCCTTTAATAGCATGCTTTAGCACTTAGAAAGTGTTGCGAGGATGTTTGAGCATATTTCTATTATGTTTAGCACACAATGGCATATTTTACTGTGTTTAGCACTTAGCTAAGTGTTGCTAGCATGTTTGAGCATGTTTCTAATGTTTAGCACACAATGGCATAGTTTACTGTGTTGCTAATAGTGCATCACAGTGCACTTTTTTTATGTCACTTCCTATTGACAGTAGGTAGCGCCATGACTATAACTGAATCTTGGCATGTAGATGTATTCAGGCCAGGACTCTCATCAAACATGTAAAGTTTTGGGTAGATTGGGCACTGCATGCCTGAGTTATATCAACTTCCTGTTTCACTGCATTAATAGCATGCTTTAACACTTAGCTAAGTGTTGCTAGCATGTTTTTTCATGTTTCTAGCATGTTGCCAGCCTATGTAACACTTTACAATGCAGTTTCATTTGTTAACATTGACTACATTAGTTTAACATGAACAATAATTATATAGCATCTATTAATGTTAATGTTAAGTTCAAAATTTATTAATACATTAATATAATTTTAAGTTGTATTTTTTAACATTAGTTTATGTACTGTGAATTACCATGAACATGAATATTTTATTAACTAACATTAAAAAGATTAATAAATGCTGTAAAAATATATTGTTCATTGTTAGTTCATGTTAGTTAATACATTAAATATATAGTTCAGTCATGAAACTCTAGATGACACATTCTGATGGGGTGTTAACGTAACTGATGATATTCAGAGAGTTAAGAGACTTGGCACAAGCTGATTGGTTCATGCTGCATATGCAGCCAATAAGCTTACTGCCTTGCATTTATATGGCTGGCTAGTATTCGCTTGAGATTCCTGCAGCGCGCTTTCAGAGTTCTCTGAAACTCAACAGCTAGATAAGTAAACGGTTTTCACTCTGTTTTCTGTGCATTATTGCGTTCGTCAGATGTACATTTTTAAACTAGAAAACATACAAGTTGTAAAACTACGTGCAGGTTATTCGCGTGAATTGCGTTCGTCAGATGTAGATTTTTAAACTAGAAAACATACAAGTTGTAAAACTACGTGCAGGTTATTCGCATGAGGAGTAATTACTAAGCATGTATTGTCAGTGTTGGGGGGTAACTCATTTTACAAGTAATGCGAGTTACGTTATCAGATTACTTTTTTCAAGTAACTAGTAAAGTAACGCATTACTTTTTTAATTTACAAGAAAATATCTGAGTTACTTTTTCAAAAAAGTAATGCCAGTTACTTTGTTTTCCCATTTATTGACTGACAAGTCTCCTGTCCCCATATTGGGAGAAATCGGAAGTGCAGAGGAATTGTGTGCGCTGTGTGAACATGATGTTACTGTAGTTCTAGACTAAATGTGAATGTGCATTAATTCATCCCACTCACAAAAAACAGATTTAGTATTCATTAAAATGAATTAGTGAGTGGTACATTAGGACAGAAGATCTTATTATCAATGCCATACTCCTTGGCCCATACTCTACTCTTCCATCCAAAACTACATCCTCCATCATACGAATATTCCCAGCACTCCTCCAGGACTTTACGAATGAGATGAGTACTTACTGATAGTTGAAGATTCGCCCAATACGTCATTGTAAATTTGATCCTTC